TCAGCCAAATCTACGAGCAAAACAAAATTTCGACTGAATGTCATTCACTCTTGCAATTATAACCGTAATATTTTACAGGGCGTACTGGATGGAGATAATTTTCTAAGGAATATCATGTGCATAAATGACTTTTCAGACCGAAGCTCTTGAAATAGTGAGGAAACCGGAAGTCAGTGAAAATGCAGCTAGTACCTTTCAGTTCGTTCCAGAATACCGCTCACATTAAAGCGAGGATGTGAAAATAGCGTCGAAAAGAGCCTAATTTTGAATTAAGATATTCAGCAAAGTTAAAAACATTGTGTATATTCATTATTCACTTCAATAACAAACTGCTTTTCCGGGCTTTGGAGCAACAACTTCAGGAGGCCTTCCTAGTTATATTAGGCCTCTGGCAATACAGCAAGCACTACTATTAAATTTCAGGAATATTTCATACATCTGAACTATTTGACACTTACGACGTCATGTTGCTTAACCATTGACTATTTAACTTTGCAGAGAAAATTCATCCGCGAGTTTGCTTTTGAACCATGTGCTGATACAGTCAAAGTTCCTACTTCACACATAGAGACGGTCCATTTTCAGGTGAACATAAAATTGTCATGCTTCGAATTTTGCAGATAACTCTCGACATTCGGTAACCATCGACTGAACCACATTCCAGTGTGGTATTTATGACTCCAGATTTTCTATCAAAATCTAGAATTCTTGAGCACTGGTGAGAGAGGACATATAGAGAGACTTTAAGACACCGCTACAAATAATAAAATGTTATTTTTGTTTGTCATCTTCGTTTGAGATGCAGTAGGGTTAACAACTTCGCTTTCACTACTTGATTTCAGGTACGGTCGGTCGAATACATTTTTCTGAACAATTCCAGCATTAACTGCTTCGATATATTCCTTTTCGCGATTAGATCTGTTTCTAAGATTTGCGAACTTTCAACTTAACCCAGAGAGCGATTTTGAGTATGTGATCATTTGTTACTTGATGATATCATCTGGCCTTGATCAAAAGACGCAGACAACATTGCTGAAGCGATTCACACTTGATGTTTTTGGTGCTTCAGCTGTTTCGAGGCCCCTAAACGAAAATGAATAAGATTTTGGAGCTTAAGATGGCGATCTCGCATTCGCCGTTATTGATCGGTCGTTGCATACTCTGTAGGTAAAGGTCGCGCCTCCACTGTCGGCGACGACTGAACCCAGACGACAAACTGTATCGGTTCAATACACTCCGGTCTTCTAGTCCAGATTATCTATTTAAATTTTATATGAACGAAGTTTTCAAATGATAAGTACAATTATGTACACAAATTCAATTATTTACATGGCAAAACCAGACCGAATCGAAAGCCATGATAAAACCAAACGGCAGATGCGATGGGTAGAAAGACTGTGAGCAATCATCTGGTGTTAGCCTGCAAAAGTTCGTCACAGAATGCGGAAAGATCACACAATTTCTTAGCCTAAATGAAAAGAAATTAGGTAAGAATTATCTCGTGTGTGAAACAGACTTATGCCCCTTACCACCATCACGTCTAATACAAACGCATAAGAACACTGGACTCTTGACTCACCTTGTGGTCGCGCTCGGTGCACAACTTTTCCATTTTCAAATCTTGTCGTTTAACCGTGGTATCAAAACGAATCTCTTCCGCGTCGTATTGGCTGACCAGATTTTCGTAATCGTTGTTATACCTGACGAACAGCCCAATATGATAGCAAACGGATGGTACAATAGAATTCGAGTGCTACCGCGTCAGTTTCTTGTTGGCGGATTCCCGAAGCTTCCATGTTTTCTCCTCTGATTTGCCGGTCTTAACACTCAATCGCTTAAGGGACTCGTTCAAGCTTTTGACCTGCTTAAACGATAGAAAAATCGGAAATCAATACTTAATCAATAAATCACAATAGAAAAACTTGTTTAATCAACAGCAGGCAATGAATCCTAGGGTTATTAAACGGACACCACTGAGTTTACTCAATATTTAAAAAGGAGTGGTGCTAAAGCTATTTCTGCAAAGGGTCAAACCTTAGAAAAACTTCTGTATACAAAACTTGATCGTCACCTCAACTTGGAGAGCAAAAACATCGCCTATCAAATTGCATGCAATAGCTGTGATTGTATTTTCATCGACAAGACCTGTCGAGCATGATTATTGGAACACA